TGATCCCATCCCAAACCCCATCCTAATCCCATCCCGATCCCAGCACCACCACGGGGCCACTGCTGGGGCCACGGAACCAGATCAGATCCCATCAGATCCCATCCTGATCCCATCCCAAACCCCATCCTGATCCCATCCCCATCCCAGCACCACCATGGGGCCACCACTGGGGACACGGAATGGGATCAGATCCCATCAGATCCCATCCTGATCCCATCCCAAATCCCATCCTGATCCCATCCCAAATCCCATCCTGATCTCATCCCGATCCCAGCACCGCCACAGGGCCACCACTGGGGACACGGAACTGGATCAGATCCCATCAGATCCCATCCTGATCTCATCCTGATCCCATCAGATCCCATCCTGATCCCATCAGATCCCATCCTGATCCCATCAGATCCCATCCTGATCCCATCAGATCCCATCCTGATCCCATCCCGATCCCATCCCGATCCCAGCACCACCACGGGGCCACCACGGGATGGAGCACAGCATCAGGAACATCCCGATCCCGATCCTGATCCCGATCCCATCCTCACCCTGCCAATCCCAACGACCCCAATGATCCCAATCCAAACAATCCCAGTGATCCAAATAATCCCAATGATCCCCGTGATCCCCGTGATCCCCATGATCCCGTCCCATGGATCCCAGTGATCCCATGGATCCCCACACACCTGCGGATGCTGTCCCTGTCCCCCACCTCGTAGGACAGTTCCATGTTGGGGTAGTGGTTGCAGAACCATCCCCGTGATCCCCATGATCCCGATGATCCCATCCCATGGATCCCAATGATCCCAGTGATCCCATCCCATGGATCCCATGGATCCCAGTGATCCCAATGATCCCATGGATCCCCACACACCTGCGGATGCTGTCCCTGTCCCCCACCTCGTAGGACAGTTCCACGTTGGGGTAGCGGTTGCAGAACCATCCCCGTGATCCCAAGGATCCCGATGATCCCATCCCACAGATCCCAGTGATCCCATCCCAACGATCCCATGGATCCCAGTGATCCCAATGATCCCATGGATCCCCACACACCTGCGGATGCTGTCCCTGTCCCCCACCTCGTAGGACAGTTCGATGTTGGGGTAGCGGTTGCAGAACCGCGCCACGTCGGCGATCTGCGCCTCGGGCAGCTGCAGCAGCGCCGTGCGCTCCTCGTCCTCCATCTCCATGATGTCAAACACGCTCTCCACGCCCTGGAACACCGGGAATTGTCATCTCCACCCCAAACCCCATCCTGATCCCATCCTGATCCCATCCCAAACCCATCCTGATCCCATCCTGATCCCATCCCAAACCCCATCCTGATCCCATCCTGATCCCATCCCAAACCCATCCTGATCCCATCCCCATCCCATCCCCATCCCACGTCCTCGTCCTCCATCTCCATGATGTCAAACACGCTCTCCACACCCTGGAACACCGGGAATTGTCATCTCCACCCCAAACCCCATCCTGATCCCACCTGATCCCACCTGATCCCACCCCAAACCCATCCTGATCCCATCCCAAACCCATCCCCATCCCACGTCCTCGTCCTCCATCTCCATGATGTCCAACCCGCTCTCCACACCCTGGAACACCGGGAATTGTCATCTCCACCCCAAATCCCATCCTGATCCCATCCTGATCCCACCTGATCCCATCCTAAACCCATCCTGATCCCATCCTGATCCCATCCTGATCCCATCCCAAACCCATCCTGATCCCTTCCTGATCCCATCCCAAACCCATCCCCATCCCACGTCCTCGTCCTCCATCTCCATGATGTCAGACACGCTCTCCACACCCTGGAACACTGGGAATTGTCATCTCCACCCCAAATCCCATCCTGATCCCATCCTGATCCCATCCTGATCCCACCTGATCCCATCCCAAACCCATCCCCATCCCACGTCCTCGTCCTCCATCTCCATGATGTCAGACACGCTCTCCACGCCCTGGAACACCGGGAATTGTCATCTCCACCCCAAACCCCATCCTGATCCCATCCTGATCCCACCTGATCCCATCCCAAACCCATCCTGATCCCATCCTGATCCCATCCTGATCCCACCTGATCCCATCCTGATCCCACCCCAAACCCATCCTGATCCCTTCCCCATCCCATCCCCATCCCACGTCCTCGTCCTCCATCTCCATGATGTCAAACACGCTCTCCACGCCCTGGAACACCGGGAATTGTCATCTCCACCCCAAACCCCATCCTGATCCCATCCTGATCCCACCTGATCCCACCTGATCCCATCCTGATCCCATCCTGATCCCATCCCAAACCCATCCTGATCCCATCCTGATCCCATCCCAAACCCCATCCCCATCCCACGTCCTCGTCCTCCATCTCCATGATGTCAGACACGCTCTCTACGCCCTGGATTGGTGGGAATTGTCATCTCCTCCCTGATCCCACCCGATCCCATCCTGATCCCACCCCAAATCCCATCCCGATCCTTTCCTGATCCCATCCCAAACCTCATCCTGATCCCATCCCCATCCCACATCCTCATCCTCCATCTCCATGATGTCCAACCCGCTCTCCACGCCCTGGAATCCTGGGAATTGTCATCTCCACCCCAAATCCCATCCTGATCCCACCTGATCCCATCCTGATCCCATCCTGATCCCATCC